TAGTGTAAGCTGCTGAAGACTTTCTCCTCTCTGTGACTGTCTTGGGAGATCAGTTGGGGAACTCATGTATAACACCAAAAAACCCCCAACCCCCCAAACCGTTACATATATCTAGTATTTCCTTGCAACGCATAGACAGCTGAAGGAAGGCCTGAGCTTCAAGGTAAACCATTAAATTCCTCTCTGGATTGTATAGTTCTGCTTAATACACAGGCACAGAAGTGAAATTCCTGTCCCCTTCATCCTACCATTTACTGGTTTCATTTCAAAAGTGAGCTAAAGGACAACGCTGCCAAGTGGCTGATGCTGTTGGGCCAGGTCATTTATAAATACACACATCAATACACTGTAATAAGAAAGAACCGCCTTCAGAGGAATTCAGCAGAGTAAACTATTACAACTCATCCTGCAGGGAAGTTGGAACGTGTCCACACTTAAGAAAGACACAAAAATTTACTCCATACTTGACTTTAAGGACTGTTCAGGATGGAAATGTCTCCAGCAGCTTGCACATCTTGGTCTTCTTCCCTGAGCTTTTTCTATACATGCCACTGAGTAAATCAATTATTAAATATCAACACAAGTTGACTTATGCAGTCAAAAATTGCTTATATTTCAATAAAAAAATGCTTAGAAGACTGCATTTAGTGAAGCTTGCCCTAGCAGAATTCAAGGGCTTGACTCATAGCTCACTGCAATTAAGGGGAGTCCTTATATCGCTTTTAATGCGCTTCAGACCCCAGATAGTGCAAATCATTCTTGCAGTATAAATTACAGCAAGATGCTAAGATATGTTATAAGCCATAATTACATCCTCTCTATATGACTAAGACAGAAAAAGAATCCAGAAAGATCTGTTCACCTCGGATTTCTCTCAGGGGCTTTGACCTGTTCACAGGTTCATTTCCAGGTGCTATCTTTGGTAGTTTGAATGTGATTTGTTCTTCAGATTCTCACCTGATAGCTATGGCCTAGAGATTCTGGCAAAGGGCTGCATGTAGGGGGAAGTTAGCAAAAATCAGGTAAGCTGAGGTTTCCAGCTGCTTTTCATTAATATTTTCTAGGCTTTAAAAAGATGCACATTATGGTATGTGATTTTTCACAGCTGGCAGCTAACAAGGGCTGATAAACTCAACTACAAGCAGCTGAAAGCACCTCAGCACAGACAAAATCAGCTTTTAAAGATATGATCAAATGTTCATCATCAGTGTTCATAAACACTTAAGTTGGAGGAATAGAAACCATAAATCCCAAGTCCAGCCAGGTATAATACACTGCTTGTAGTTTGGAAAATTTGGACTTCTAATCTTAGTTTAACTAACTGAAAAACACGTATGACAAGAGTCTCAGACCTCACAACAAGAGCTCTGGACAAGGGAATATACTTGCTGTCTCTGTACAAGCCAG